TACTTAGATTATTTAATTATATTTAGATTATTTATAGTCATACTTAGATTATTTAGTTATAGTTAGATTATTTTATTACTAAATAACCTAGTCTAAGCCGTTTATGACTAAATAATATAATTATATTATTTAGTCATAAACGGCTGCTTTGTGTGCAAATTTGTACGTAATTTTCAATATTATTTAATTAATTATATACGAAATTCCAATAATTAACCTAGATTTTTTTTTATTTTTGTATAGAAAACATCATAAATATTATATTAAAAATATTATTTTATTATTTAAATCATTTTTTTGTATAGTTGCCTTATAGATAAATTTTTGCATTTGTAAAAATTGGCAAAATTTATGAAATTTTACAAAGTTAATCACATCGCGTTTCTCATCTATATATCCTAAAAGTCCAAATTTTATATATGTTATATATTTCACCTCATTATACAACTTTTATTAAGCTTAAAAGAAGATTTAAAAGACCAATTTAGGCCTTATATATAAATAAAAAGTTGCTAATAGTTAAATTATTAAAAAAAATTGCATGCAAAATTGCATGCAATTTTCAACATTATTTAATTAATTATATATGCGAAATTCCAATAATTAACCTAGATTTTTTTTTATTTTTGCATAGAAAACATCATAAAGTTTATATTAAAAATATTATTTTTTCATATAAATCATTTTTTGGAATAGTTGTCTTATAAATGAATTTTTACATTTGGGGATAAGCACAGCAAAACAAGGGGATAGCCTCAAAAAAAAATTTCTTAAGTTTATATGATAATTATGCTCCAATTTATCCAAAAATTACAGTTGTAATGAAATCTCAAAAAAAAATTTTTAGATCCTATCCCCTTGTTTTGCTGTGCGTATCCCCATTTGTAAAAATTAGCAAAATTTATGAAATTTTAAAGAGTTAATCGCATTGCGTTTCTTATTTATATATTCTAGAAGTCTGAATTTTACATATATTACATATTTCATTTTTCTTTACAACTTTTATTAAGCTTGAAAAGAAAGTTTAGAAGGTCGATTTAGACTTTACATATAAGCAAAAAGTTGCTAATGGTTAAATTATTAAAAAAAAAATTGTATAGCAAATTTGCCTAAAACTTTAAAAAACCATAAATAATAATTACTTGCCATTAAGTAATCATAAAAATTAATTAAAGTTTTTAGATTTATTACATCATGAATCAAATTTATGTCTTTAACATCAACAAATAATAAATTATCAATAAAATTTCATAAATCTTTAAATTACTATTACTTGTTATATATTAATGTTATGGACATATACTAGTACCATTGAATGTGCCTTGATGAGATAAATCTAATGAGCTATTGTATAATCTTGTATGACCACTGGATGATGAAATAATTGAATATTTCTATATGATAAAATTTTAGTATTATTTTTTATATTTTATTTTTAAACTGTTATATATAATAAACTACACTAAATAACCTGCTATTTTTTTTTTTATTTTACTTAGAAAACATCAGTAATTTTATTGAAAAAATGTTGTTTCTTTTTTAACAAATATTTTTCATATTAAAATTTCTAAATTATGTAATTTTTTTTTAAATTTATAAAATTAAACTCAGTAATTTTATTGAAAAAATGTTGTTTCTTTTTTAACAAATATTTTTCATATTAAAATTTCTAAATTATGTATTTTTTTTTAAGATTTCTAAAANGGGGTATTTAGATTATAACGTGGTAATAAAATCATACATAAGAGAAAAATACAGATATCAAGAAAGGTATAAAAATATAGCTAGAATGTGAATAGAAATAGTATCAAAATAAAAGAAGTAGATTATAGTGTGGTAGCCAGATTATGTATTCAGATTAAAGCGTGGTAATTAGGTCATAGTAATTAGATTATAGCATGATATTTAGGTTATAGTGTGATATTTAGATTTTAGTGTAGTATTTAGATTATAGTGTGGTATTTGGATTATAGTGTGATATCTAGAATATAACGTGATATTCAGATTATAGTATGGTATTTAGATTATAGCGTGATACTATAACCTAGTCCAAGTGAAATACCACACTATAATATAATTATATTATAGTGTGGTATCCCACTTATCCTACATATATCTGGTACCCGATATGCAACTGATAGCCTCGATTTTGACTTGTGATCAGTTCTGGCATTTTTACTAGTAGAAATGAAAAAAAATACTGAAACTGATGGTTCTGGTGTTTTTACTAGTAGAAATATAAAAAAAATGCCAAAACTAATAGTTCCAGCATTTTTACTAGTAAAAATGAAAAAAAAACGCTGAAACTGATGATTCTGGCATTTTTACTTGTAAAATGCAAAAAAAATGCCAGAACTATCAGTTCTAGCGTTTTTACTAGTAGAAATGCAAAAAAACACCGAAACTGATAGTTCCGGCATTTTTACTAGTAGAAATGTAAAAAAAAACACCAAAACTAATAGTTCTGGCGTTTTTACTAGTAAAAATGAAAAAAAATGCCAAAACTGACTGTTCTAGCGTTTTTACTTGTAAGATGCAAAAAAATGCTGAAACTGATGGTTCTGGCGTTTTTACTTGTAAAATGCAAAAAAAATGCTGAAACTGATAGTTCCAGCATTTTTACTTGTAAAGATGCAAAAAAAACGCCAAAACTGATAGTTCTGGCATTTTGACTTGTATAATGCAAAAAAAATGCTGAAACTGATGGTTTTGGCATTTATATATATAAAAATGCAAAAACAATAAAATGCTGATATGACTTTGTATAAAAAAAGCACATGACCCATGATCAGCCAATAATATTTATGTTAATTATGTATGATATAAATAATTACGTATTTATGTATTTTTCAAAAAATCTGGTAATTAATTACCAGGATTACGAATTACATATTTATACGAAAATAGGGAATTACCAGGCCATGTATAATCGAAAGATAGTATATTAAAAGATAACATATTAAAAGATAACATATTAAAAGATAACATATTAAAAGATAGCATATTAAAAGATAGTAAATTAAAAGATAGCATAGCATATTAAAAGATAGCATATTAAAAAATAGCATATTAAAAAGATAGTATATTAAAAAGATAGCATATTAGAAAGATAACATATAAAAAAAGAACATAAAAGATATTATATATTAGAATAGAAAATATAAAGAAGGCTGTATAAATAGAGAGCAGAATTCAAAGTAATTCCACATTATCTCATCCACAATGTAATTTAGAATAGTTAATTTTAATTATTTGTTAATAAAGTATAATATTAATTAAAGGTAATAGGTTCACCCTAAACTTTAATTAATATTCGCTTAATTAATTTTAATTGAATAAAATGATAATTATAAGATGAATTAAATATACACTTTTGTAATAAGAACTATCGAAATATTGAAGTTGAAATAAATAGAATAATTCGTAGCGAGAGCTATCGAAGTTTGGAATTAAAGGTAAAATGGATAAAAATTGAGGAAAGTTTAAAGAGGTTAAATTTAATTTTATGTCGCACGATATTTTATATTACTAACGCTATTTATGTTGTGAATTAAAAATGTTGTTGTTGTATATTGTTGTTATATGTTGTTGTATGTTGTTCGTTGATTATGTTGTTTATTAATTATGTCATTAATTATTTGCTTGTTT